CCAATTTCGTGATTACGATCTTGTCTCATCGCTGCAACTCCCCAGTGGGCTCGGGAGAGGCGAAGGTCGAGTCATGCGTCCTCCGAAACATGACCCGCCAAGCCGCGCTTCTTTAACACCCGCTCGCCTAACCCGGAAGACAGCCGCACCAATGTGTCGGGGGAAACACAAGGAGTCGTTAGAGTGTGATGAGCCAAGTAAAAGCCCCCCCCCCCCCCGGCCAAACCTTCCCCTAACCCGGATGACGCTGGGCCAAACGTGCACCGCCCTATTGGACTCCCGGTCACGGCTGGTAATGACGCAGCCTGTGATCGAACTCCGCAACACTGGGATGCCTTAGACCGCTGCGCCACTCGCCACTTGTTACTTTTAACAGTATTTTTTGTAGTCAACCAATTCTAACATTAAACCAATAGCATATACAGTGAGCTCCATAATTCATTGGACAGTGACAATTTTTTTGTTATTTTGGTTCTGTACTCTAGCACTTTGAGTTTGAAAGGATACAATGACAATGAGGGTGAAGTGCAGACTGTCAGCTTTAATTTGAGGGTATATTCATACATATCGGATGAACCGTTTAGAAATTATAGAAGCTTTTGTACATGGTCCCCCCCTTTTTCGGGCATCAAAAAACATTGGACAGTTTAACATAATGTAGAATAAAGTAATCATTGTTAATATTTGGTCGCATATCCTTTGCATGCAATGACTGCTTGAAGTCTGCGATGCATTGACATCACCAGACGCTGGGTATCTTCCCTGGTGATGCTCTGCCAGGCCTGTACTGCAGCCATCTTCAGTTCCTGCTTATTTTGGGGACTTATTGCCTTCAGTCTCCTCTTCAGCATGTAAAATGCATGTTCAATTGGATTCAGATCCGGTGATTGACTCGGCCAGTCAAGGATTTTCCACTTTTTGGCCATCAAAAACCCCTTTGTTGCTCTAGCAGTATGTTTAGGGTCATTGTCTTGTTGCATGATGAAGTGCCGTCCAATGAGTTTGGAGGCATTTGGTTTTATCTGAGCAGATAAAATATTTCTATAGACTTCAGAATTCATTGTTCTACTTCTGTCTGCAGTCACATCATCGATGAAGACAAGTGAGCCTGTTCCACTGGCAGCCATACAGGCCCAAGCCATAACACCCCCTCCACCATGTTTCACGGATGAGGTGGTATGCTTTGGATCATGGGCATTTCTTTTTTTTCTCCACACTTTCCTCTTTCCATCACTCTGGTACATGTTAATCTTTGTCTCATCTGTCCACAATACTTTTTTCAAGAACTCTTGGGGCTCTTTTAGGTGCTTTTTAGGAAACTGTAATCTCGCCTTTCTGTTCTTCAGGCTTATCAGTGGTTTGCATCTTGTAGTGTACCCTCTGTAGTCCTGCTGGTGTAGTCTTCTACGTATGGTAGACTTTGACACATCTACACCTGCATCCAGGAGAGTGTTTTTGATCTGTTGGGCTGTTGTCAGGGGGGTTTTCTTCACCATAGAGAGTATTCTCCGGTCATCCACTACAGTGGTCTTCCTCGGTCTACCGGGTCTTTTGACATAATTGAGTTCACCGGTTGTTTTTTTCTTGTTAATGATGAACCAAACTGTTGACTTGGGCATGGCCAGGGTTTTTGCAATGTTCCTGATTGATTGATTTTCATTTCTGAGCCTTATGACGGCCAGCTTCATTTGCATCGACACTGCTGTCTTCCTCATGTTGTCACACCACAACAACAACCTCCAAAGGCAATAGCAAAGTCTAGAATCAATGCTATTCATCAACAGCTCTCCTGCATTCACTAACGACACAAATGAATACACCTGCCTAACGACACACATCTGTGAAGCCAATTTAACAAATACTTGTAGTACCTTAAAATGGGGGGACCATGTATAAAAGGTGCTATCATTTCTAAACAGTTCATCCGATATATATGAAAATACCCTCAAATTAAAGCTGACAGTCTGCACTTCACCCTCATTGTCATTGTATCCTTTCAAACTCAAAGTGCTAGAGTACAGAACCAAAATAACAAAAAAAGTGTCACTGTCCAATGAATTATGGAGCTCACTGTATAACCCCTTGGAGATATACCCTTCAGTCTTTCCAGGACTTTCTTTGGGAATTTAATCCGCGGACAGGGTTTAGCAGCTTATCACAGGTCTCTGTACCAGTGGTTAGTAAACATAGAAATTAGACCACAACTTTATTCATTATTCTCAAGTGATATATAACGTTTGATATTTTGTTGCAATTGTGTTTTTGTATTTTCATAGTTCTCTCTTTGGGACTGGAAATCTGTTATCTAGCTAGCTTAGCTACTAGCTAGGTAGCTAACATATTTTTTTTTTTTAACAAATCAAACTAACGTTTTGTGTCATAAAAAATATGAATATTGGATGGCTGTCTATCCTATTTATTTGTAGCTAGCTAGCTAGTTGACGTTACCTAGAATAGATGGTTAACTTGATAAACAACTTCCCGTGTGCTACACATCATCCTGGCGCCGCCACTTCGTGCCGCTAGCGTTACTGTCCATGCAGGCAATGCAGCCCGCTGTGATGCTTCTTTGGGAAATCTCTCATCTTTAATTTTGTAAAATAGATTAGTCCCCGGTCGTAGGGACCATCCCACCCGCAAATACTATGGTCAAAGCATTTTGATCTTGAGAAAACAACTAGATCAAGTTAGCTAGCTAGCTGTTTACATCTGCGATGGAACAGCTGTTGTTTATAAACACACCGGAAGGTCTTTGAGGTTCCAGGATTCACTTCCGCTCTTGTTAAAAAGGTCTATACTAGTGAAGCACCGAGGACTGAGGCCCCCCCAAGGAGTCTCTGTGTTTTTTAATTGTATTTTGGGATGGTAAAACATTTTCAGTTTAAACTTAAACGACAAAAGCCAGACAAATGTTTGTAGAAAAGATAATGGAGCTATATATATATTTTTTATGAGTTCATCTTTGAGAACTAACAATCACCTAAATAAAAACTCGACAGCCAGGGAGAATCTAAAATTCTCAAAATGGCATGGCATTGGGCCCTCATTGATTTTGTTATAATGTTTGAGTCACTCAGATAGCATAAGAACACAGCATAAGCCATGGTGAAATGTGTAGAATTGCAGGAAATGTGTTTTGAAACTGCATTTTTTTCTCTCAGCCCCATGACAGAATGTGTAGAATTGCAGGAAACTACAGTAGCTTTAAAACAGCAACATTTTATTTCTGTGACCAAGAGGAGGGCCTTTAAAATGTTTGGTCAGAGACCGCACCGCACCCCCCCCCCCCCCCCCTACTAACTTTGGCACCGCTGCTTAAATGTTTTATAAGCGAAACGCTGGCATGTGTGTGTGTCCCGTCCTCTGTCGAGCCCCTCACAGGGGGACACACACAATCTCACCACTTCACTTCACTCTGAAAATCTCTGTAATTGGTAGCCTACCCAATATGAATGTCATTCTCTTAGTTGATATTGTGTACATCAAGAGGACGTGAAAAGAGGCTCAATGCCCCCCCGTCCCCCGTCCCCCGTCCCTCTCAAAGCTCATTGGAGGAGAGGATCCAATGTCCCTCCCCCTCGGACCTCCTCCTCCAATGAGCTTTGAGAGGGACGCGAGAGGAATCAACGATGGACGGAATAAAGGATTTGAAGGCTAGTTCAGTTTCCAGACAGAGCCTTACACCCCCTTCAATGACCTCATATACATTCTTTACCATATAACCATAGTCCCCATCTACCCATAACACACAGTCACCACGTCACAGTGTACTTGGCAAGGTCTGACTGTTTTCTATCTAACGTTTCATCGTACCATTATAGCTAGCTGCTGATTTAGTGGGTAATTATTTTTACCCACTGCAGATCTGATCTGCGGGGATTTTTTTTTTTTTTTTTTTTTTTTTTTTTTTTTTTTGATTGAAACAGAAAGCTCTCCTCTCCTCAGCTCCGTACATCCGTGGGAGTTTCTGCAGCTGCTCAGAGTTAGTTAGCTGTTAGCATCCTCAGGGACACATGCAATATGTATGAACCTTTAAACTACTGCAGATACATTACCTCAGGCTTTTTGTGCTTTAAATGATTGAAAAAAGCCTGAGATTAGCAGGCAGAATGAGAACGCTCTCTCTGTATTAAAATAACTCTAGTAGGAGATGTGGCGTTAAGGGGAGGAGGGTTGGGTTCTGCAGGAGCATGTAGTCTTACACACACGCTCGCATGCACGGATACACACGTATGCACACACACACACGCACACACACACACGCACACACACACACACACGCTAACACACGCACACACACATGCTAACACACGCACACACACACTAGTGGTAATGTTTTAGTGATAGCAGAATGCCTTAGTGGCTGCAGTAGTGGAGGAAGTCGCTGCAGGGCTCAGCCACATTATTTATCTATGCTGGCACCATCTCTAAATGTCTGGTCATTTGCTGCCAGAAAAACGGCAATCATGAACAAAGTTTTCTTGAATTGAATTAAGTGAAACTGTCTTGTCTGTTGTCCCCACTCCATCCCGGTCTGATCAGATCTGAACAGAAAAAGGCCCCTGAATGGATACTTCTTCTTCTTCTTCTTCTTCTTCTTCTTCTTCTTCTTCATCTTTGTCGTCATCCTAGGTCCCCACTGGGCACACACTGGTTGAAATTACATTGAACCAACGTGGAATATATGTTGAAATGATGTCTGTTCCCAGTGGGTCTGATCATCTCTCTGTCTTCTACTCCTCATGTCTGATAATCTCTCTGTCTTCTACTCCTCAGGTCTGATAATCTCTCTGTCTTCTTCTCCTCAGGTCTGATCATCTCTCTGTCTTCTTCTTGTTAGGTCTGATCATCTCTCTGTCTTCTTCTCCTCAGGTCTGATCATCTCTCTGTCTTCTTCTTGTTAGGTCTGATCATCTCTCTGTCTTCTTCTCCTCAGGTCTGATCATCTCTCTGTCTTCTACTCATCAGGTCTGATAATCTCTCTGTCTTCTTCTCCTCAGGTCTGATCATCTCTCTGTCTTCTTCTACTCAGGTCTGATCATCTCTCTGTCTTCTTCTACTCAGGTCTGATCATCTCTCTCCAGCTGCTGCGAGGAGAGATGGAACAGATAAGGAGGGAGAACCCTATGATCTTCAATAGAGGCGTGGCCTTGACACGCAAGCTGGGCTTCCCCGATGTCATCATGCCAGGTGAGGGCTGGGCTGCTGGAGCTTAATTCAATTCAATCGAATACAACTTTATTAGGACAGTCTTAGGACAATTACTATGAGGGTTCCGGCGGTACTTCAGACACCTGCGACACACAAGCACAGAATCAGTATTTGTGTGGAAGTCAGGCCTGCAGAGTGTGGATGGGCAGGTGTAATGTACATGGTGCTGCACACCTGTCTCTAGTTCAGGGTGAATCAGAATAGGACCAGGAGGTTCTTCTGACAATGTGATGTCTGAACCCTATTCTGGGCCCGTCTATCTGTCTGAAAAAAATAATCTCTGTCTGTCCATCCTTGCGTCCGTCTGTCACGTGCGCTGTTGTGGTTCACATTCCTCTAGTGGTCTTACTCAATGGTTGATGTCGTCTGCACTTTACCCTCAAATCAATAGTCCACTCAGCTTCTAAATCCTCATTCCATTATTGCATTTCACTATTGGTTAGTTTGTGTGTGAACAGTCCAGCTGCAGGCTAGATGTAGAACTGAAAAGAAGGATCCGCTTCCCAGCTCTCCTCATTGCGTTACACTCGGGCCCTACTGCCTTCATTCACATGCAAAGCTAATCAGTTCGAATCCCCCATGTTGAAGTGAAATGCCAATACATCAATCGGTCTGGATAACTGATCGGTCAGAGAGGCTGGTTCAGTATTCATAGATTTATGGATGTTTAATTTCTCCACGGGATCGATGGTTGGTAAGTAGCAGCAGACCTGGGTTCAAATGGTATTGGAAATCATTTCACTTCATCTGTGATTGATAAAGCTTGCCTGGATTAATAGACCAATAGGAAATTACAAACCCTGTACATCTGGCACTCCAGGCAGGCTAAAGCAAACGCTCAAAGTATTAGAATGATTTCAAATAGTATTTGGACCCAGGTTCTGAGTAGCAGTAGGGTTCGGCTGACTCAATCCAATCTGGGGATGAAATAATGTCTTGCCCTCTGATTACATGGAGGGAAACAAAATAGTGGCATTCTTTTATGTGGCTGGCAGTTCATGAGAGCACTTTATCTGGCTACATACTACAAGCCTAGCTATAGTTGAATTTAGCTTGGCCCAATTTAATTGGTAAGAGTAGTCTCTTTCAACAGCCGTCATTCTGTGTTTTGCCATTTGTCATGTGTTACTGTGTCTCTTTCTGTGTAACCTGGTGTCCATCTGGCCCCTCCTCCATGGTGTCCATCTGGCCCCTCCCCCATGGTGTCCATCTGGCCCCTCCCCCCTGGTGTCCATCTGGCCCCTCCTCCCTGGTGTCCATCTGGCCCCTCCCCCCTGGTGTCCATCTGGCCACTCCTCCATGGTGTCCATCTGGCCCCTCCTCCATGGTGTCCATCTGACCCTCCTCCATGCCCTCCCCTGCACCATAGAGATGGAGGTAAATTGGTGTAAGTGCCGCCCCTCTGTGACCCAGCCTGACTCTTCCTCTGCATTGCTCTGTCTGGCTGATTCCTTGGTTAGCGATTCAGTGAACCACACTGAGACCTTTATAACTAATGCCTAGACCTAAAGAACTAATGCCTAGGCTTCAGCTGAGCTGGTTAACACTGTCTTGTAGCGTGAAGAACACCATAGTTTGAAACCCAGTCGTCATTCTTACGCTGTAAGTCACCCCTACATGGCCTATCTACCCTCTAGTACTCACAAGTCATGCCGGTGCTTCAGTAGTACCTGACCGACTCCGTCCTGCTCCTGGAAAATAACCAGAAATAATCCATGTTTGTGCGCGTGTGAGCCAACATGTTTGTGCACGCGTGTGAGCGAACATGTTTGTGCACGCGTGTGAGCCAACATGTTTGTGCGCGTGTGAGCCAACATGTTTGTGTGTGTGTGTGAGTCATGGGAACGTAAAGCTTTATTAATGGGTTCCAATCTACTAAGACCAAGACACCATCGATCCACAATGGGATTGCAGCCATATGTCATCCGGTGCTGAGATGCAGACTGTGGATGGTGCGTCCCAAATGGAACCCTATTCCCTTTATAGTGCACTACTTTAGACCTGGGACCATAGGGTTCTAGGGACCATAGGGTTCTAGGGACCATAGGGTTCTAGGGACCATAGGGCTCTAGGGACCATAGGGTTCTAGGGACCATAGGGTTCTAGGGACCATAGGGTTCTAGGGACCATAGGGCTCTAGGGACCATAGGGCTCTAGGGACCATAGGGTTCTAGGGACCATAGGGGTTCTAGGGACCATAGGGTTCTAGGGACCATAGGGCTCTAGGGACCATAGGGCTCTAGGGACCATAGGGTTCTAGGGACCATAGGGTTATAGGGACCATAGGGTTATAGGGACCATAGGGTTCTAGGGACCATAGGGCTCTAGGGACCATATGGTTCTAGGGACCATAGGGTTCTAGGGACCATAGGGTTCTAGGGACCATAGGGGTTCTAGGGACCATAGGGTTCTAGGGACCATAGGGGTTCTAGGGACCATAGGGTTCTAGGGACCATATAGTTCTAGGGACCATAGGGGTTCTAGGGACCATAGGGGTTCTAGGGACCATAGGGTTCTAGGGACCATAGGGTTCTAGGGACCATAGGGTTCTAGGGACCATAGGGTTCTAGGGACCATAGGGGTTCTAGGGACCATAGGGTTCTAGGGACCATAGGGTTCTAGGGACCATAGGGGTTCTAGGGACCATAGGGTTCTAGGGACCATAGGGCTCTGGTCAACATTTGTGCACTAAATAGGGAACAGTGTTCCATTTGGGACGCACCCACAGACGGAGCCTCCCGCCTAGCTTCTCCGGCATTTATATAAACACATAACTGCGAACAGACTATGTTACAATGTCCGTACTATCTTAACACTTAGAATGCATGTCCAATGCATTGCTTCATCCTAAGTGATATGCTAGTGTTGATATTGGAACAGAGACACGGTCTAACTTGCCATGCTATATTCATATTCATATTACCATCATCATTCCTATACAATCTTTCCTCATAAAGGGTAATCTCCTCTGTGCCACGGATGTTTATATGCTTATGGGTATACAGTGTATCTCTGTTTCCATTTGCAATCACATGAGGACTGTGGATGAGTGAGTGGAGGCTTTTCACATTCTTTAAATGGGCAAGGTGGTATTTGGAGAAGATTAGATGGGTTTTAAGGGTGTGCGGGGAGAGAGAGAGGTAAGAGAGAGGGGGAGAAACAGAGAGAGACTGAGTAAGTGAGTTAGAGAGAGAGAGGGGCAGGGGAGAACTAGAGAAAGAGAGATTGTGAGAGAGAGAGAGAGAGAGAGAGAGAGAGAGAGAGAGAGAGAGAGAGAGAGAGAACAGAGAGAGAGAGAGAGAACATCACTGTATATATACATAATATGAGATTTGAAATGTCTTTATTCTTTTGGAACTTCTGAGTGTAATGTTTACTGTTAATATTTATTGTTTATTTCACTTTTGTTAACTATCTACTACACTTGCTTTGGCAATGTTAACATACGTTTCCCATGCCAATAAAGAAATTGAGAAACCTAGAGAGAGAACACCACGAGAGAACCCCACAGAGAGAGCACACAGGGAGAGCACACAGAGAGAGAGAACAGAGAGAGAACAGAGAGAGAGAACAGAGAGTGAGAGAACAGAGAGTGAGTGAGAGAACCGAGAGTGAGAGAGAGACAGAGAGTGAGAGAGAGAGACAGAGAGAGAGAGAGAGAAAGAGAGAGATCAGTGAAGGGAGATTTAAACAGGCTATAGTGTTCAGTAGTCCATTTCAGATCCACGCTAAACACTACACTGCCCTGTTGGATAAACCCTAAACCCTCATACTGCCTGTGTCTGCCTGTGTTGTCCAGGTAACAGTTTAGTCTTTGGGAAACTGTCACTGGAGCAGACAAATGGATAGAGGTTGTCTCAGCCCGTCACATTCATATAGCACAATGTATCGCAATGTGGCTTCTGAAAATAGCAAAGCGAGCATTTTCCCCAAAACTTTCATATCTTATGGTCTATCTGCCTATTCTCCTGTGTTTACGAAACAGCCATATGGATGCTCAATATCTGATGTAAGGATATCTGTTATCCTTATCTGTTGTATTCATTAATATTGAGGTATGACATAATGTGAGACGGTTAGCAAGTGCCAATGAGACACATCTTCCCTGTGACGTTTGGCTTTACCTCGTCTCGTATTGGTTGAAGTCAAACTCCTGTATGCACACTCACTACCAAGGTAACTTCCTCTTCTTCTTCTTCTTCTTCTTCTTCTTCTTCTTCTTCTTCTTCTTCTTCTTTCTTCTTCTTCTTCTTTCTGCTGTCTTAAAGGCTTTATAACCCTATGCTTTCCTCTTCCTGCGTTTCTGTTGTTTCTGACTGAGCTTGCTAGTTACACTAGTGATGTTATTATAGAAGGCCGTTTGAGGTTTCAATCCTAAGCAACCTGCCTACTACACGTTGTCTGAAGTACAATTAGACCAACATAGCTACTGTAGTAGGTCAAAGCGGTGTGCTGGAAAACCTTGGTGGAGCATGGGTGGAGGAGGCATTGTGGTGTACCTTGGTGGAGCATGGGTGGAGTAGGCATTGTGGCGCTCATGTGACTTACCTTTCTTTTTCAGCTTCAGACCAATGCCTATTCTCACTTAAAATGTGTTTAATATCTTAGGAGATGTAGCTAACTGTAGTAATATTAATGTAGTTAAACTGTAGTAATATTATGTAATAATGTAGTTAAACTGTAGTAATATTAATGTAATAATGTAGTTCAACTGTAGTAATATTAATGTAATAATGTAGTTCAACTGTAGAAATATTATGTAATAATGTAGTTAAACTGTAATAATATTAATGTAATAATGTAGTTAAACTGTAGTAATATTAATGTAATAATGTAGTTCAACTGTAGTAATATTATGTGATAATGTAGTTAAACTGTAGTAATATTATGTAATAATGTAGTTCAACTGTAGTAATTTTAATGTAATAATGAAGTTAAACTGTAGTAATATTAATGTAATAATGTAGTTCAACTGTAGTAATATTATGTAATAATGTAGTTAAACTGTAGTAATATTAATGTAATAATGTAGTTCAACTGTAGTAATATTAATGTAATAATGTAGTTCAACTGCAGTAATATTATGTAATAATGTAGTTAAACTGTAGTAATATTATGTAAAAATGTAGTTAAACTGTAGTAATATTAATGTAATAATGTAGTTAAACTGTAGTAATATTAATGTAATAATGTAGTTCAACTGTAGTAATATTAATGTAACAATGTAGTTCAACTGTAGAAATATTATGTAATAATGTAGTTAAACTGTAATAATATTAATGTAATAATGTAGTTCAACTGTAGTAATATTATGTGATAATGTAGTTAAACTGTAGTAATATAAATGTAATAATGAAGTTCAACTGTAGTAATATTATGTAATAATGTAGTTCAACTGTAGTAATATTATGTAATAATGTAGTTCAACTGTAGTAATATTAATGTAATAATGTAGTTCAACTGTAGTAATATTAATGTAATAATGTAGTTCAACTGTAGTAATATTAATGTAATAATGTAGTTAAGCTGTAGTAATATTATGTAATAATGTAGTTCAACTGTAGTAATATTATGTGAGAATGTAGTTCAACTGTAGTAATATTAATGTGATAATGTAGTTCAACTGTAGTAATATTATGTAATAATGTAGTTCAACTGTAGTAATATTATGTAATAATGTAGTTCAACTGTAGTAATATTTATGTAATAATGTAGTTAAACTGTAGTAATATTATCTAATAATGTAGTTAAACTGTAGTAATATTATCTAATAATGTAGTTCAACTGTAGTAATATTATGTAATAATGTAGTTCAACTGTAGTAATATTATGTAATAATGTAGTTAAACTGTAGTAATATTATGTAATAATGTAGTTAAACTGTAATAATATTTATGTAATAATGTAGTTAAACTGTAGTAATATTATGTAATGATGTAGTTCAACTGTAGTAATATTATGTAATAATGTAGTTCGACTGTCGTAATATGAATGTAATAATGTAGTTCAACTGTAGTAATGTGGCTTCCTCATCTTTAATACATCACTAAAACATCTAAAAGTGGTTTTCTGTGATTGCTACTTGAGAAGCACACATGTAAAACACCTCTTACTGTAGAATCTGTCTGTGATACAGCTCACCAATCAAGACACACCGTTTCTCTTACAGACAACGGTTGCTCATTGTTCCCAGCTTTTTCAATATTCATGGTTAGTGCCGTTCACAACAGCAGCAAATTCACTGAGCTCTAAGGAAGGAAAGCTTCTCTTAACAAAGCCATATCCATGCAGAATATTCATTGATGTAGTATTTAATAACAGAACGGAGAGATAGAGAGATAGAGATATTCTACTCTTGGTAATATCTCCTTAGAAGTTAATGTACAATATCCACACACATCATAGTCCCACAGTCGATGCCTTGGTTTAAACTCACCCATAGACAATGATGGATTGAGCTTTTAACATTCATCTAAAACGTTTGTTTGGTCAAAAATGTATTTAAAAGCAGGACAAAAAAGAGAAATGAGAACACTGGTTATTACTGCGGAGTAGGAAGGAGCAGCACAGTGTGTGTGTGTGTGTGTGTGTGTGTGTGTGTGTGTGTGTGTGTGTGTGTGTGTTCGTGTGTGTGTGTGTGTGTGTGTGTGTGTGTGTTCGTGTGTGTGTGTGTGTGTGTGTGTGTGTGTGTGTGTGTGTGTGTGTGTGTGTGTGTGTGTGTGTGTGTGTGCGCGCGCGCGCGTATTCATGCATACGTTTGTATGTGTGTGGGCAAATAGGTCAACAGTTTCTAAAAGATCGATGATGCGTTTAGGCATCTAGCAGCACATCCAGGGTGTGGTGGAGATAAGGCAATTAGCTGAGTGTTTACACAGGGAAAAGGTCATGTTTTGGGGGGAGGTGAACGAGAGGGATGGGACTCTGGAGGTGGAAGATCTGGGTGTAAACTCTACTCTCACAGCCTCTCTCTACCAGCCGGAATAACTGTTATCTCATAGACAGAGAAGGGGGATTTCTTTCAACAACAAATAAAATCCATAGCATCACCTCTTACCGGGCCTATCCACCAGATACCACTTTGACCAACCGATCTACCGAAAGTGAATTAATTTCAGTCATTTTTAATGGTAGGCACGGTGACAACCGAATGCGACCAAAGTTGAGCAACTTCATGTAAATTGGGTGTGTCTGTCTGTATCCCAGGTGACATCCGTAACGACCTGTACCTCACCCTGGAGAGAGGAGACTTTGAGAGGGGGGGCAAGAGTGTCCAGAAGAACATCGAGGTCACCGTCTACGTGCTTTACGCAGATGGAGAGATACTCAAAGTAGGTTGTTTTTTCCTGACGACCGTAAAATGTCAGGCGACCTTACAAATATGTTTTATACACTAAACAAAATAATATAAACGCAACATGTAAAGTGTTGGTCCCATGTTTCATGAGCTGAAATAAAGTATCCCAGACATTTTCCATAAGCACAAAAAGCTTATTTCTCTAAAATGTTGTGCACAGCTTTTTACATCCCTGTTAGTGAGCATTTCTCCTTTGCCAAGATAATCCATCCACCTGACAGGTGTGGCATATCAAGAAGCTGATTAAACAGCATTATCTTTACACAGGTGCACCTTGTGCTGGGGACAATAAAAGGCCACTCTAAAACACAATGCCACAGATGTCTCAAGTTTTGAGGGAGCGTGCAATTGGCATGCTGACTGCAGGAATGTCCACCAGAGCTGTTGCCAGGGAATTTACTGTTCATTTCTCTACCACAACGTCGTTTTAGAGAATTTGGCAGTACGTCCAACCGGCCTCACAACCTCAGACCATGTGTAACCATGCCAGCCCAGGTCCTCAACATCCGGCTTCTTCACCTGCAGGATCGTCTGAGACCAGCCACCCGGACAGCTGATGAAACTGTGGGTTTGCAAAACCGAAGAATTTCTGCACAAACTGTCAGAAACCATCTCAGGGAAGCTCACCTGCATGACCATCGTCCTCACCAGGGTCTTGACCTGACTGCAATTTGGCATCGTAACCGACTTCAGTGGGCAAATGCTCACCTTTGATGGCCACTGACACGCTGGAGAAGTGTGCTCTTCATGGATGAATCCCGGTTTCAACTGTACCAGGCAGATGACAGTGTGTATGCTGTCGTGTGGGCGAGCGGTTTGCTGATGTCAACGTTGTGAACATAGTGCCCCATGGTGGCGGAGGGGTTATGGTATGGGCAGGCATAAGCTACGGACAACAAACACAATTGCATTTTATCGATGGCAATTTGAATGCACAGAGATACTGTGCATTGTAGTGCCATTCTTCCACTGCCATCACCTCATGTTTCAGCATGATATTGCATAGCCCCATGTCACAAGGATCTCTACACAATTCCTGGAAGCTAAAAATGTCCCAGTTCTTCCATGGCCTGCATACCAGACATGTCACCCATTGAGCATGTTTGGGATGCTCTGGATCGACATGTACAACAGCGTGTTCCAGTTTCCGCCAATATCCAGCAACTTCGCACAGCCATTGAAGAGGAGTGGGACAACATTCCACAGGCCACAATCAACAACCTGATCAACTCTACGTGAAGGAGATGTGTCGCACTGCATGAAGCAAATGGTGGTCACACCAGATACTGACTGGTTTTCTGATCCATGCCCGTACCTTTTATTTTAAGGTATCTGTGACCAACAGATGCATATCTGTATTCCCAGTCATGTGAAATCCATAGATTAGGGCCTAATGAATTTATTTCAATTGACTGATTTCCTTATATGAACTGTAATTCACTAAAATCTTTGAAATTGGGGCATGTTGCGTTTATATTTTTGTTCAGTTTAGTTACTTTGCTAAGCTACCAAGATTTTTTTTACAATCCAACGTTTTAGTAACATCTGTCATGAAGTATTTGTTTTACTATATATATATATATGAAACAATCTATATAATTGTATGCTGTCCGTGTGTGTCTGTGTCTGTGCATGCGTGTGTGTCTGTATCAATGTGTACTTACCTGTTCTCCTCAGGACTGCATCAGCCTGGGGAATGGTGAAGCCCACATCAGTGAACACCGCTCCTTTGTCCTCTACCACAACAACAGTCCTCGCTGGAGCGAGCTGGTTAAATTACCCATCCCCATAGACCGCTTCAGAGGGTCACACCTACGCTTCGAGTTCAGACACTGCTCCAGTGAGTACCGGCCTGGTCTCTAGATTCGGACACTGCTCCAGTGAGTACCGGCCTGGTCTCTAGATTCAGACACTGCTCCGGTGAGTACCGGCCTGGTCTCTAGATTCGGACACTGCTCCGGTGAGTACCGGCCTGGTCTCTAGATTCGGACACTGCTCCGGTGAGTACCGGCCTGGTCTCTAGATTCAGACACTGCTCCAGTGAGTACCGGCCTGGTTTCTAGATCAGTATGTACTTCTCTTTCGTTGTCATGTTCCTTCAAGTGGTTCGGCTAAGTACTGGCATGATCAATAGAAAATGTTCAGCGACTCTTGAAGCAGAAGATGAACTTCAATAATGCTTAAGAGGTAGCCTAGTATGTTCTTACCAGTACCCCTTTTT